CTGTCCTCTATCAGAATGTCAAACCAAAACAACTTTCCCGCAAACCGGTCTATGGGCTGCCATAGACGCCCAGTCGGAAGAAGAATAATAATAAATATAGCTGCAAGCAGCCATTACCGGGGCCAAGCGCAAGAAGCGGCAACATATGCCAAAATGGCAAGGAGTGGCAGACCAACTGCAGCAAGGAGCAATTAAGGGCATTTTGAGAGAACTTTGGGCAAATGGCTAAGAAAATCACATAAACATTAACTTATAATATGATTTAATGGGTTATCACTTTCGAACAATAGGTGGCGCAGTTACAAAATAGATGTGATGTGGTCAGAGTGAGGTGACAATGACACATGCAAAGTTTGGTGTCAAAATGTGAAGGCATTGCAGAGATAAAGCCTAAATAGTCATTTTGGCAGCATGCCTCAAATTTGATGCTGTGGTATACGAAAACGGTTTTGTCTATCGTCACGCAATCCATAACTTTTATTTGGCACTGTCTGGAGATGATACGATTCAATTTTCGTGAAAATCGGACAAACGGTCTAGGAGGAGTTCGAAAAAGAAGGTTTTTCAAAGAAATAAAGATGGCGGACAGGAAGTTTGGCTGATTATGCAAAACCTGATATCTATGTTTTCGGCATAACCCAAGGAATCTATTAAGATCAGTTTCATTGCAATAGGCAAATTTATTCAAAAGTTATTAGCGTTCTCAGAAATTAATTATAACTTTTGACCAACAGGTGGCGCTGTCTCAAAATCTTTTGAGTACCTTCAGGGCATGCTGCTTATGGCACACACTGAGTTTCGTAATGTTAGACCAAAGCATTTGTTTAGTATAGCATTGTATTTCACAAAACTGTATTGAAGTCAATGGGAATTTCACGTTTTGTTCTATTATAGCGCCACCAAGAGGCTCAGTCCCACAATTTTTTTTATGTGTCCTCAGAGTGACCCCATACATATGTGTGTCGATTTTGGTGCAAAAATCTCAATTTACTTCCGAGTTATAAACATTTATATGAAAAAACACGTAAAAAATGACTGACACATGACTTTGTTTGAATTTTACTACCCCTTACTATCAATATTTACGCATTTGGGCATTAGCGTATAGTTAACAAGCTATGATTCCGTGTTTCTGGCGGTGGTTTCGTCTCGATCGGAACAGCGGTTTTGAAGATATCGCCAAGTGTTTTTTTTCGCGCTAAATCGCTACGCTACGCCATCCGTGAGACGAAACCCGACATATTTGGTATCGTTGGACTCGGCAACGATTCAGGACCTCAAAAATATGACTCCCGTGAAAATAAGTGTACCACACCCAAAGTTATAAGCGTTTGAATAAAACAATTCACCACTAGGTGGCGCTGTTTCGAAACTTCTCAGGCTCCTTCAGGGCATCGTACTGATGACCCATAACGAGTTTCGTAACAATTCGTTCATGCGTTCAAAAAATACAGCCTTTTAGCACATAATTCAAAATGGCCGACAGCCAAAATGGCCGATCTGGGAAAATTGGATATCGGTCGACTCGGCATGACGCCCTGAATCTAACGAGACCAAGTTTTTGATTTTTGGAGAAACCGTTCAGAAGTTACGAGCAAAAATAGCCATTTTTCATATCTCCGGACCACTAGGTGGCGCTGCGCCGAAACGCAGCACGTAGCCTCAGGTCATGCTTGTGATTACACGTACCAAGTTTGGTGTGAAAACGAGTAAGCGTTGCGGAGATACAACCTCACGTCTGTTTTCGCAAGCGCTACGTAAATTTTGTTTACGCGTTTATCGAAAACGGTTATTCGAATCATCTTGAATTCCATAACTTTTTGTCAGCACTGCCTGGAGATGATCCGGTGCGATTTTGGTGAAAATCGGACAAACCGTCTAGGACGAGTTCGCAAAAGTAGGTTTTTTGGAAAATTCAAAATGGCGGCCGTTTTTTTTATGACGGAAAATGACGTCATATGGTGCGATCGAATCGGCATGAGCTCAGGAACAAGAGGAAAAAAGAATTTTGTTGATAGGCCTTACGGTTCAAAAGTTATTAGCATAATAAAAGTGAAACTTTGGACAGTTGGTGGCGCTAGAGGGAATGAGTTAGAGACACCAAAATTGGTGTATTTAAAGTTGGGACTGTCCTCTATCAGAATGTCAAACCAAAACAACTTTCCCGCAAACCGGTCTATGGGCTGCCATAGACGCCCAGTCGGAAGAAGAATAATAATAATAATAATAATAAGAACCGGCACAGATACAATAGGTGCCTCCGCACCTTCGGTGCTTGGCCCCTAATAATAGGAACCGGCACAGATACAATAGGTGCCTCCGCACCTTCGGTGCTTGGCCCCTAATAATAATAAGAACCGGCACAGATACAATAGGTGCCTCCGCACCTTCGGTGCTTGGCCCCTAAAAAGTAAGCCTGAGAAGCATAGGGGAGCGCGGGGCACAACGTAGCGCGGCTAGTTGTGACACGCTTGTTTTAAATATTTACACACATGCTAGCATGACGAAACTTGGTGTATTTACTAGTTGACATTTCAACACTATATAGAGAAAAAAATTGTACCAAAATTCCGAAATCTTTGTAAGATATCACTGAACATTTATTTAATCATAGCAAAAGTACATTCCTTACTTAAATAAATTTTCATCTCTATTTTTGTGTTTATTTAAAATTAGACAAATCTGATATTATTTTAATCTCCAATTGTTTAACAGTTGATATACTTCTTTAATGCTCCGCTAAATAGCAGAAGACACTAGCAGGGTTTAAACCAGGTGGGGCATGTTGTAACACTGCATTACAATGTGCCCCTATTATAAATAAGCTATTATATTCTATACTTTTATAAACTCTATAGAGAAAACATGACAAACATAATGACTGAGAGTCAATGTTCAGAAATTATTAATTATTATTTTGTTTTGAACTATGCTGTATAGCTGTGTTTTCCAGTGTGTTTGTTGGCAAACTCAAAAATTAGTGTATTTTTAATTATTAAAAAATGCCATTATTTTATATGAAAAAGTCAACCCGATCTCACGACCAAGTCGTACGAATTCGACGAATGATTAAAAAGTGGCTAATTCGTAACAATTCATACGACCTCACTCGTACGAATTAATACGATTTTGCTAAATCGTACATATTTTACGAATTGGCCAATTCGTATGAATTCGTACAAATGACCTACCCCTTACCCCGCCCCTAAACCTAACCATCACGTGGGTTTAGACAAATCGTACGAATTAGTACGAATTAGCCACTTTTTAATCATGCGTCGAATTCGTACGAATTGGTCGTGAGATAGTTGTATTTTATTAAGAAAATATTTTGGTTTGACTTAGATCAGATGGTGATGTTACAATGTACCCCACCTATGGGGCATGTTGTCACATTTCACTTTCACCATTCTTTCAGGGTAAAAATCAAGAAAAAAGTATACACTGTATTAATAAAACAAAACCACATAATTGTACTAGACATGTGGTAAATTAATGCGGAGAAAAAAATTCTCTAAACCCTATTAGATTTACACAAATTGACAAAGTCAAAAAGTGTTACGTTGTGCCCCGCTCTACCCTATATATATTGTCCCTATTTAAAATGCTAAAAGAAAAATATTCACACAAAAAAAAGAAAGAAAGAAAGAAAGAATATAGGCTTTTATAAATGACTTGTCTGGGGCCTCAATACTTGCATGTTATTTGTGATGCTTCATCAATGTGAGGCTTTATTTTTTTTTAACGTTTTTGGCGCTATAGCGAACGATAACAAACTTGCATCTATTAACACAATAATGTGTCTTTCGGAAGACCATTGTAGCCGGAACTACATCTCTCTGTGTACGTCTATGACGAATCACGCAGGTACTGGGCTACTGCAGCGGCAGCAATCCGAACCAGTCGAAAATAGTCCCAATGTAAACCATTATTAGGTGTACAATAGTGGTTCAGGATAACACAAAAACACGGATTGGAAAATAGATTCATGATGAATTCACTCATTATATACATTTTGTAAATTTTGAACAGAAAAAATTAAGGACTTTTATTTAAAGCTCATTGCTCAAACTTTTCAAAATATGATGAGCTCGCTGAGGCCCCCTTGTGGAATCCCTTGAGGGTTAAAATGATTAAATGATAAATGCCTCTCTCGTGAATCTGTGAGAATATTAGAAAGGCAGCGTGTCATTGAAAACAAGCACTTCCAAGACTGTTACATAATTTCTGAAAAACATGGACCTGGGTTGGTCCAGTTGCATAAGCAGACAAGTGTGAGAAGTCCTACCGAGATTGATGAATAGTTAGAGATTGATGAACCTCGGAGAATGTTCCACGTCTGGCATGCGATTCAGTAACGTGACTGTATCATCAGTTTCAAATGTTAAAAGACACTATGTACCCAGTAAACATAGGCTGATTTTCATTGAAGTTTCGTGTGTTTTTGTTTTCATGACATTAGAAACAGGAAAGTGGATCTTAAATTTGGTAACACTTTCCAATGCAAGGTCCCATTAGTTCAAGTGAATCCTCTGATTTGATACAATGTCTATATGTAAATCTCTCTTTCTCTGTGTTATCTGAACTGAGCAATTTGTGTTTATTTGTCAGCAAATGTCTGCCGGATGATTAATTTTAAAAACCTATTAGGTTTTAAAACCTATTATATTTAAAAACCTATTAAAAACCTAAATGCATTACTATTGATCATATCGTTCAAGTTAACTAAAAACAAATGCAACCTTATTGTAAAGTATTGCTGGGAAATTTTGAAATACTGACAGAGTATTGTAATTTTTCTGTTAATTGGTTTTAAAAGGTAAAGGTTTTTTGATTAATGATGATTTATGTTCAATAGTTTAACTTATATGTAGAAGACAACCCAAATCATGTTACTGTACATCAAATGCTATTGGAAATACAATACAGGGTGAGATTCAAGCACAAAAGGGAGGGAGATGAATTGTGCTTTTTAAGAATCAAATATTCAACACTCAAACTGCTCTTTAAGTTTTTATGAATAACAAAATCTTTTTTTTTTTCTCCATGGCACAGCACTATTTTCATTAATATCACAAATATAGAAAGACGGCAAGTGTCCCGCCATCCCCAAATCTATTTTAAAAGTCAAACACTGAAAAATGGACAAAACACAAGTATTAAAAACCATAACATCATCTTTCCACTCTCTCCCGTACACATGAACATCATCACCATTGTGTCGAAACATCAACATTGGCACTTGCAAAACAATCGACTCAGGTAGTGCTGAGCAAGTATGCGATCCCGTGAGGAAAACCATCCATACTAAATGGCACAACTAACAAGAAGGCACGTCAACTGCACATTAACCGGGGCTCTCCAGTCCACGTTCCAGCATGCTTACAGCCTTACGCCGATGCCCAAATCACTTTCTCAATAAACCATCTAACAGCTTTAGTGATCTAACGGAGAGTTAAGGCATTACAGGTCGTTTCCACTGACAAAATATGATTTGATTCCAGTATTCTTTACTTGTTTTGATTAATATAAACACACAAATGGCATACTGTTATGAATTTAGAACTACACAGTGATTTTGTAAATAAGACCACTTTGATATTGTCTGACAAAAATTTGCTACAGTAATTTTAAGGCCACATTGAAGGACCTCGCATTAGACACAATGAAGCATACTGTATACAACTCAAAAGGTGCATTAGCTTAACCTTCAGCGTGAAAACGGGCCGTGCGCGACAGGCGCTGGGCCAATTTCCCTTTCTTACAATTGTTGCTTTGTGAAACTTGAATTTCAAGTGTGGCTGATTGCATCATGACTCTTTCATGTTTGATTTAGAAATAAAAATGGAGAAGAAGAAAGAAAACATGATTTTTGGAAAACAAAAGGGATAATGAATACTTGTTTGAGAGTCCAATAAACTTGTCTAGATAAAAAAAATAAAAAAGACAGCATATTATTCCATGTGATTGCCATTTATGGTTTTGTCCTCGCTTGAGATCTTGAGGTAAACTCATTTAACACAGGGAATGAGGGAAGTTTAACTCAAGATATAAAGAAGAGGAAGTCATTTTCTTAAAACACAAATCTTGTCAAATCACCCACCGAAGAGGATAATCAACTTGATTCACTTTAACAGGGCTTCCCTCGACCATGAAAATGAAAGAGTTGTAAAGAAGGAAAGACATCTTTTGGTGAATCTCTCCGAAAACACGCCTACGCCACATTTACCCCTGAAAGCAAATGAAAAATAAATACAAAATAATATTTGCTTGAAGAAAACAGCCATATTATATGAAATTGTGAAATTATTTTCATGAGATTTTAAATGCTTTTCCCTCATTATTGCCATGATGCATCTGGACATTTAACTATTTGAATTTTTTTTTCAATGGTGATTTTCATAACTGTAATAGAGTACTTTTAGCATAAACAATAAGCATTAAAGCCAGTACAACAAATAAAACCATAACATAAATACAATATAAATATATTATCATATTTGTTTGTTTACACATAACAGTAAATAGAAGTTTGCATTTTTTGCATCATGGCGGAAATTGGGGGGAATGTGCTTAAGTTGTCAAAATATTACCACAAACGAAAAAAAAAAAAGCAAAATCCTTAAGCAAAATATCATTTCTTATTTCTATTATTTGACTTCAGGGTAAAATATGGTGTTGTCCGCTTTCCTGAGATTCACCCATTCGAGTGTTAAAACAATGAGCTTGTTATTTTATGCTTGTAAAGCAGTCCTTCACAGTTCTGTCATTCGCCTTCTTTTCTCGATCAAACATCATGTGAATGGAATTCTGGGTAGGTGACGAGGACTGAGCTAGTGGCTGGTCCTGTTAGGGGGAAGCAGTGGTGTGCTCCGAGCCCAGCAGCCTCCCTGGCCCCATAGTGACAGCTGCCCTTAGTGTCCCGCTAGCTAGTAGTCCTCTGCTGCTTGAGCACAGTGTAGACATTATCCACTTTACTCAGTCTCTCGAAGAAAGGGATGAGATCCAGCAGCTCTGTGTCAGACATGTCATCAAACCAGGAGGCAACAGGTACCTAAACAAAACAGAGAAGAGATGTTGGGACAAGCCATTGACTAATAAACTATAGCAAGCCAAGCACTGTACGGACTATAGAGGGTATGCACGTGACGTCACCGTCGGCCGGAGTGCCTGCAGTTACTCACAGTGAGTGGCAAAAAGACTGAGCGGCTGTACTTGTTTTCAGCCGCGAAAAACAAACACAACACATATAAAGTGGGAAAGAGCTTTGCGATTGACTGCACAACTAGATTTGACTAAAAATCGGAGGTATATTTTTACAGACTGCTGTAGAAAGAAGCAATTCACAGAAACAAGTGGACTCCAGTCAGCGAAAGGTGGATTTGCAGTTATCGTTTTGTGTCAATATGCTGAATTTAGGTGTAAAACCATACCCATATATTTTGTATTGTTATTTACATTAAAAACTCATCAATTAAATATTTATCATTGCATATTCTGCATTATTGGACATTTTTTAATAAACACTGACCAAAGGGCTGGACGACATGATGATATATATATAACTGATATATGTGACCACCCGGATTTAGACCTACCTATATTATATTTATATAAAGCGTTCACAGGCAAATTTGCTTTATGTTTAGGCCTATATTGCTTTTACTTCCCCGGTGTCAAAATCAGGCAAACATAATTGTCAGGCATCACGATTCCTGGCTGCATGTCAATATCCATGAATCACTGGATCTTTAGTAAGTTGTAAGGAACACTATATTGAGTCCAACATTTAGTTTAAATTGATAAAATTGTTCGTTTTAGTCGCATTTTCGCAGTTTTCTCCTATTAAATCCAGTCACGCAGCAGATCTTTTGCCATTCAGTCAGGCTGAGGGGGGTTGTTCCGGTGGGAAAGCGACGTCAATGCATTCCCTCTATATCATCAGACCCAAAGCAGTTATATGTGCAAAAGAACAAAGACAGACAGTAACGTACAGCATTGTCTGGGTGGAAGATGTAGGAGGCTGGCGAGTTGTCCACAATGATGACTTTGTTGAGATCCCTGCCTAGACGGCTTAGGTCCTTGACATAATTTCCACGGTGGAACACACAAGATTCTCGGAAAAGACGGCTTCGGAAAGCTCCCCACTTGTCCAGCAGATCCGACACAGGATCGGCATACTAGGAAAAACAGAATCACAATATTGTGAAGGACACGGTTAGACAGAGGACGGAAAAAGTGCCACGCATCAACAAAAAACAAGGCTCACACCAATGAACCAATGACTACTGAAATTCCATATCAAATTCGTGAGTAGGTTACTGGATAAAGAAATCGTCATTCATTTAAACAGTCTTATTTCATTCGATTTTGTTAGATTGTATTATATCTGGGTAGTAATTATTATGTAATCTGGATTACATACCGTATTTATAAGGCACACTTAACAGCCTTTAATTTTCTAAAAAAAACAACAGTGCGCATTATAATCTGGAGCGACTTATATATGGATCAACTGGTTAATTGGATCAATTGATTAATAACGCTCCACGTTATTAGTCTGGGTTTCCCCATACTGCCTTAACGCAACGCGATTCAATTCACGCTGAAAGGCAGTCTGGATAACATAGTCAGATTTTTCGCCTCATTTAGGGAACCAATTACAGAACGGGGAGGGAGTAGCAAGACGATGACGACATCTATCCCTCACACAACGCAGTTCGTTTATATCTATGGATTCAACATGGTAGCAGACGTGAAGCTACCTTTTAATGCAGCATTAGATATTGTTTTAAGTAGTTTAGAATGCAAGTTTATTTTGAAAAAAGAGCCGTTTTGGCGTTAAACTTCGCGAGACTCCAGTCGTTATTGTTGTCTCGCCATTAATCGCCCTAATGGAGGACCAGTTCAGGAGGCGGTCAACCTTGGAATATCTGCCGCTCAGCTGTGTCCCGAGAAAGAAAATGCGATAAAGAATTGTCGATACCAACTTCTGTTCGGCAGTCCCGAGGCCCGGATGAGCGCAAAGTCGCAAGACTGTTAGCCACGGAGTTGTATAGTACCTGCTAGGCATCGTCGTCGACGAAGTCCTTTAACTTATAAATGGTAAGTGATATTTATTAATATCATATTGTCATTATGCCTGTAGACTACCTACTGTGGTTGTCACAGTGCCACTAAGTTGTGTTGCTTTTCAATATCAATATACAGCTACCACTTTAGTAGCATAACTTTCAGCTGTGCACACGTACCCGATTAAAGTTGTTGACTTTAGTCATTAAATTAAATTTTTTTTTTTAACTTGTGAAGTACAAGCGCAAACAATTTCCAATGTTAAACTGAACTTAATAATACTTGTGTTTTTCTAATGGAAACGATTGGCTATGAGCTACATACAGGCGCATTTGATAGACATTCTTAGTACCCAATAAACGGCGCCGGGCATTCGTAAACCACGCCTCAAATACGAGAAATTGTGCATGTGGTTCCCAGACCCAAGTCTCAACGAGCCAGGCTACCACGTTATTAAATTTGCCCGCAAACTCGTGCTCGTGTCCATCTTATGCCCGCTCTGTCACACGGCCAGTTCAACCTCGTATAAATCATGTTATGTGTGTAAATCACGTGCCTGCTCACGAGCGCTCACTCTTAACAGACACACTGTCCCCGGCGCTGCTCGCGCGTCACAAAATGTTCATAAAGCGCTCCCCGTTCACAGTAACCGGGTCGTCTCATTCAAAACAGCCAGCTGTTGCTGTCAGCGAGCCGCCGCACATTAAATACTCATATGAGTCAGGCTGCGAATGTTAGTTATGTGCCCACCCCAGCACGCTCACGCTTACTAATAAACGCCTCACCTCCGGCACCGCACACTCGCTACGTCCCCTTTAGCACATCTAGTGGATGCATAATGCAAACCCAGTCAAACATGTGACTGCAGTATCTTATGCGCCTTATAATCTGGTGCACCCTATATATGAAAAATGTTCTAAAATAGGTCATGAAGGTGCGCCTTATAATCCGGTGTGCCTTATAGTGCGGAAAAAAACGGTAATCTTATAAATGAAGTAATAATTTAAATAAAACTAACTCTATATTACAAATCAAGTCGTTAACATCAACAATGCATAGTCACATTTAAAATCGCAATATCTCGATATAACGAGATCTATGGACACACACAGATGCATACATTGTTATATTAATATATATTAGTGTTGTCGGCATTAACGTGTGCGATTCATATCAAAATCCTTAACTCTGATGCAAATAAATTGCAAAAGAACGTGAAGATGCGTCATTAATGTGATTTACGTCACGCAGTTAGATGATCTTAGAAGTCGGGAGTTTATCACTCCCGAAAGTCCGAAATTCGCATCCGAAATTTTCGCATGTAAAAAAAAAAAAAAAAATTCGACTTCACGTTATGTCAATCACGCTTGCACAACGCCTCCAAAACTTTCGTTCATCTTTAAAAAAAAATCGGATCCGATTCGATTTTCTGCGTTTTTCGCATCCACAGCCAGCATTTTGAGAGGTTTTTTTTACAATTCAGGGCCGGGGGAGCTCGTTCCGCACATCATTGCACATGCGCAGTCCTTTCAGTTTCGGTTTTCAATTCGATCATGTGTTTATATGTTCTCTATCGATCGGATCAGAAAAGGAATAAACCTCCCCTTTCAATCAATCGAAATTTCGGATTGATTAAGGTGTGATTGAGCAGCCAATTCGATAACTAATGTATTATCTAGGTACAATATATAACCTGTAGCCTATACAGCTGTTCTGTCTGCCCAGCGCTTCCGCCGGGCAAGTACGTGTGTGTGTCCATACCTTAGACATACTGCCAGTCTCTGTTCAGGATCGATTGTTTCACGGAAATTGGTGGTGGTCTTTTTAATATGTGGCTTCAAAATCGCTATCAAAGCATCAAACTGTTCCACTGACACTCTGAAGTAAATTTTGAATCGATCGGGATAATTTCGCAACTCTTTGATAAGGAGGTGGAACTCTCCTTCCTCTCTGCGCAATTTCAGGATTGGATGGACCCAATATTTCTAATACTATCTAATATAGTAATATACATATAATAATATATATACTTATATACTATATATATACTATATATATACTTAATAATATAATATACTTTCTAATATATTTCTAATATTCCTAATACTTCTTCTCTTTTCAATAAGCGAGGACAACAAAATCATCCTCACTGCTTGACAAATCCATTTTGTATTTTTGTGTGTTTTTTTTCGGCAAAGGTTTAATAAATACACATTGGTATCAGTGTGCAAGGTTTCCGTGTGTGACGAATTTTTAGGCTGACGAACACGAAAAAACCCAGAACTCAGTGTGCAATGGCCTTAACCCTGGTAGGAGGTCATTTCCATTCCTAACCGGATTCTGATTCTGTTTGTGATCAGACCATTTTAAGCAATTAAACTCTAGGAAAGTTTTCAGTGATCCAGTAATCGAATTTGTTCAATTCTGTCATATTCTGTAATTTGTTTCTGAAGAGCGCAATTTTGGTGATGTACAGTAAGTGTGTGAGAGTCTGTTATATTGATGCCTAAACAACAAATTGTGTATGTGCGCTCTTTATGTGCTTTTATGTACAGACACATTTCAGAACATTTGCACTGTTTCCACACACACCAAGGATAATGTCTGACTTGTCATGTGCATGTTGCTGTGTTTAGTCGTAGGTCAAGGAGGTTGATTTAGGAGTTTTTGGCTTCTCCATGTGGTCCTGTTCGGTATCGCAGCTTGACTGCTTGTTACTCTTTCTGTACACATACTATACACTGTGAATTCTGTACAGGTTTATTTTTTTCCATGGGAGCTTTGGTGTGCATAAGGTATTATATAATACAAATGTATGGACTCCTTATATCATTTGGTTATTGGGTGTCTTTGGAGTCTCCAAGGTGTCCTGGAAGCTTGTAGAAAATACAGCTTTGTGAGAATCGCCCTTCAATCTGATTGTTTACTTTGCTGGATATAGGAAATGATGACAAAATTAAACAAGATAAATGGCGTATTCTCAAATGTACGATAAGTGTGTGATTAATCGCGAATAATATTAATCGCGATTATATATATATATATATATATATATATATATATATATTAGGGCTGGGTATTGAGACAAATTTCACAATTCGATTTCGATTCACGAGCTTCCAATTCGATTCGATTACGATTCGATTCAATATCGATTATTTTGAATATCAGTTACAATAAATGGACATTTTTCTCAAGGGAATCAAATCTCTTAAATGCTGTAAACTGTGGGAGTCTAGCTGTAGCCTATAGGCTTCATTAGCCTAATTAGCCACTAAAAGCCTAATATGAAGGTAATAATGAACTGTTCTGTAGCCATACAAACACTTAAATTACACTTTTATTTATTTTTATAATAAGAAGATTATATGAAATATAACCATTTAAATGGTGGCTGTCATAAAAACTTGCCAGATTTATTCAAATATGCATTCAATATTGAAGAACATTATAATGCATATGTAATATGGTGTATATATTTAGCAAAATGCTCCTCTCTGGAGTTATTTTTTCTAGCTGACTAACGAGTTTATGTGGGTTTTCTGAGGTAAATATGACGATACATGACATTGATTACAAGCTGTTTAACTGACGTCTTTCCACGGTTGAAACGCTGATTGAGCGAATCAATGTGACATGATACTTTCGATAAGTTGTACTTTATGTTTTGACACACTTTCAGATGCTCATTCATATTTATTTCGCGCTGTGACTGGTATTATTAACCCGGGAGAGAGATCAGCGCTGCTGCTTCTCTTGGGCTGCGCCAGAGCGATCTCACGCCACAGCGCCAAAACGCTATTTATGTTTTTGAATTTCTAAAGAAAATGGACGTAATTTGAAAATTGAGACTTTGTTTCATATCAATAGTAACAAAGGACAAAGATTATTGCGATTTTTTGGATGCGCGCAGCCTTGATACAATGTCCCATTCATTCAAATTAAACAGGATGACTAATCGATTCTTGAGATTTAGAAATATCGATATCGGTTCGTAAAAATGAGAATTGATTAATATCGAGAAATCGATATTTATTACCCAGCCCTAATATATATATATATATATATATATACACAAACATGAATAATGTAAAAAGTATAATAAAATAAAAAAATAAAAAAGTAAATGAATAAACAATCAAAACTGGCTGTTGCTTTTTAATGACTTTTTAAGATTTGATTTTATTCACCAACTATCATAAAAACGGACACGATCTAAAAAAAAAATCTGATGCAATGGCAGGACTAAATAAATCGTATCTGAAAACAGACACCAAAGCACACACAGAGTTATTTATCTTTTCACAGGTTTGAAAGTCCATTTTAAAATAACTGGATGTTTTCCATAACCGTGCGAACACTGTGACCATCTATAAAACTGCTACAAACAGTGAGTGATGTTAAATCCTATTCCTTATAAAATTTAATACTGAATACCTCGCATAGTGCAAAAATCATTTTGCACGTCTTACCTTGGCTAAGCTTGCAGTGAATAACACACACTCGAACAGTTCCCCCATCCGTTTGAGGAACTCGTCAACATGGGGTCTCTTCAACACATACACCTACATTCAGAAGGCAGACAGAAGGGGGGAAACGGTTAAAATGTATCATAACTTCAAAGTTTTAACTTCACAACCAGGGCATACGAGAAAAAATGTCACTAAACCAGGTCACATTCATAAAGTTACAGCTAGGATTTATTACCGAATGAATATGATTTATATTAGCCTGCATCTTGATGCTTCATATAACGATGAGCTTTATGTGACCATAGAACTATAAACCCAGTTTTAAGAGCAGCAATAAAACGGGTTGTTTTACTCCAACATCTAGGTCAGCCAAGCCTGTTTATGAAGCTGGTGGTCTCATTCCTGAACCAAGTCATCCCGAATAGGCTTTCCTGACATCCCAAGCCTATCCTGGATTACTTGAAACAGGCCTAAGCCTTGTTTGTCAGACACCTTTAGTCCCTGGTGTAACTGGGGTCGCTGGCCTTTAAAGGGCCAAAGCATAGTACTGTCATAGCTCGAGAGAGAAGGAGACTCGCTCTGAAGAGAGATTGATAGGGCCTGTGACTTCTCAGAAGCCAGTCAGTGTTTCTCCATTTCGTCAGGACACAGAAATAGCCACCTGCTGCTCTGACCCATCAGCCGAGATGGCAACGATACTGTCAAGTTGCACACCCGTGTTAAGCGGCAATAGGTAAACAGAGAAGAAAACGCTCAACCAGCGAAGATATGTAAATAAAGCAATTTGATCTATTTAAAAACTTAAATAAAAAAAATTGACAATGTATTTTAAGAATTGGAAAGATAACTAGACGGATGCTCTCGATCTTCAACAACATTTTTTTTTCATGGAAATCATTGTACAAATAAATCTGTTGTGAAAAAGTTGTATACATCTAACATTAAAAGTGGTTAGCGCAAAAAAAAAAAAAAAAGATATAAAACACATTTACCAGATAATATTTTAATAACTTACTTTGGCATCAGCGCAATAATACGTCACGTTTATTTCTCACGCAGTATAAATGATATATCTTTATACAATTTTTTTCTTGAATCTACTAATAAATTAGCCTGACTTCGTCATACTCATATTCTAGTCAGAATGCGAGTCGGATTCTGCTCCATAGGGCTTTGATTATGAGGCGTATCTTAAAAAGAAAAACTCTGCACTTAATTGGATAGACCTACAACCAATCAGAGCAATGTAGTAAGTGACGCATGTTGAGCTACGCATAGTTGTGAACAGAACTCAACTGCACGCACACTGGAAGAAGTAGTAAAATAATGAGTGTTGCTTCTTTTACTTGGTCCTCCATGAGTGGGACTAGTGTTGTCAAAAAACTCGGTACTTCGGTACCAAGTCGGTACTAAAAAAAAAAAAATGTTACGGTACCAGCTTTTCTAGGTACCGAGTACCAGGTTAATCCAGTTCTGTTCTAGACGCGATGTCTGAAACGTGCACATTTGCGTCCTCTTTATAACGCTGATATGGCTCTCTCTCTCTGAATCCACTTGTTGAAACGAAAGGAGGAAAGAGCCATATGGAAATATTTTGGATTAGGCTAATGTCACGTTGCCATAAGAGGCCGATTACATGCAAATTCGCAATTTCAAATATAGGCGCGATTCAAGCGCGCTCATAATAAAAACTCGTTGGCGTTGCATAGCAACGACAGACGCCGCGTGAGAGCAAGCGCTTTGGAAAGAATAAGCACGCGCAAAAATATAATTAAAAAAAACACGCGCGACATGTGAACGGCCTCTAAAGTGCTTTCGGGGTAGTTTTACGAGTAAATGAGCACAGTAGTATCCACCCGACACCAGAGTACTACTGGTATTAGTATTGTCATTTAATGTCAGTGCCAGTTCTAGGCGTATTCTTGCCTTTATAACTCAGCAGGTTTAAAAAGCCTTTTTAAAATGAAATATGAATGCAGTTTTAGATTAAATAAAAGGACAGTCAAATAAATAAGTCAAATAAAACATGTTTTATGGTAATGCTACAAAGATACCATTCATCAACATTACTTGGTTATCAACACATTGAGTGAACAATATATTTTTACAACATTAATTAATTTTTGAAAATGTTATTTATTACAAACACCTGATTGTTCATGTTTGTTCACTTAATTCATTGTGCATTAAATAAATAATGGATTAAAACTTTACAAACAACTTTAAAAATGTGTTAGTGTATTGTTTATTTTAGGTCATTTTATCTAATCTTTTTCTAAAGTGTTTATAATACAAATGTACAGTTTCCATACTTGTAACTGTGATAAACACTTAAATATATGTAAATTTAAACTAAGCTTTGGTACCGAAATTGGTACCGAGAACCGTGAATTTTAACTGGTATTGGTACCGAATACTGAAATTTTGGTACCGTGACAACACTAAGTGGGACCAAAGGAGAAACCACAACGACCACAGGGCTTTCATTGCATCCCATCTTCTTGGCGACCATCGGAGCCAGATGATAAATTAAACTTTTGCCGAATCCTGTAGGAAGGACGGCAAACACATCTTTCCGATCGACAAATGCCTTGATTGCAGTTCTCCGTTTGTCTTAAAATTAACGCGCCGTCGATTTCTTTTACAACAGACGCGAAAGTGGAATATATACATCTCAATTCTTCAGCTGCAGCCAACTCTGAGGGAAAACAGTTCAACCCAAGCACTCTTTGATAACGTAACTGCAGATCATCTGTCCATCATCGTATAAAGCCCGCCCTGGTAATTTGATTGGCCCGACCATTTCTGAAGCGATCATAATTACTCCTCAATGGATCGAGTCTAGACCGAACTGCCCGACCAAAAAATGTTTGGGCTGGCATCCAGTCTATTAATAAACAATTCTATTTTAGGAATCAGATTCTTCACAAGGGGATCATTATATTTTGAGGATCTTAGCACTGTGGTAATCAACACTTTTCATGATTGATTGAAAATCATAATCTTTTTTCTTTTCTTTTTTTTCCGATTGATTTACGATGATTGGAAGGATATGCTATGATATCAATCAGTTACCATGGACAACCTCGCATAAGAACGGGTTATGCTCACCTGATGTACTGTCCCATCAATTTCCACTGGAATGATGAAGTCAGCATTGTTTACCGGCTGGGAAGAAAAGACATTAAAGTTGATTTAATTGTTGCAGGCAGAAGAAAATAAGGTGAATCTATATTGAATTTGCAGGTGACTGAATCAATGACTGACATGATGTGTAAACATCCAGCAGGCTCCAGTCATTTTCAGAATATTGCCACACACCCCAAGACTGGTCTTTAGATAGGTCTAGAAACTCAATCTCAAATGTTGAGATAATCACATTTATGTTATAGAGATGTCAGGACAGCGTGACCTACATTCACAGATGTGGCATGAAGTAACATTATGCTGTCTTGTGCTGTAGGATCACAGGTGTTTTACTTCGGACTGACTTTAAAGGAATAGTTCACCCCAAACCATGAAAATTGCCATTATTTATTTATTTTCAAGTCATTCCAAACCAGTATGCTGTTCATTTTTAGTGGAACACGACTCTTAACAGTAATTTAAAAAAAAACAATAATAATAATTAAAAAATAGTATCCTTATAGATCCTTTAATAGAAGTATTAAAGGAATATTTATTTACTTTAATAGAATATTTTTCTATTAAATTATCCTTTAATAGAAAAATAGTATCCTTTTGTGTTCCACATAAAAAAAATAATTATAATAAAAAAAAATATATATATATATAAGCATAAGCATGCAGACTTAGAACAACATGGGGGTAAATAAATATTTTTAAATAAAATAAAATTTTTGGAATGAACTGCTTCTTTACCAGTTAGCTTTCAAACTCCATTTGCAATAAAAAAAAAAACAGCTTACATTTAATACACTCAATACACCTAGGCCCTGTTTACACCCAGTATTAAAATGCGATGGTGTTGATCAGAACACAAGTTGACGATGCTAAATTGGTCAAATGTGTTTTTGACTACCTCTAGAAGTTGTCGAAAGTGGACAAGCTCAAAACGTTTTAGACCCCGTTTACACCTGAACAACCGCCAAACACGGCTACTCTTCGCCTACGGACGTAATGCATAAATCATTATGGCACGCTAGCCAGACAGTATTGACTGTTGCGCATGCTTATTTCATCCAAAAAGCCCACCCATAGACCCAGGACAGAAGGGTCAAAAGCACACCAAAAAAAAAAAAAAAAAACAGGTTTGAACTGGAATGTCTCCCTCAACTACTTGTGATCCAAACAAGAAAAAAAAGCAATATAGTTTTTAGAACAGTCACAGCTGAGACTGCAGTGAGGAAAACATTCATTTTCTTCCTGACCTCCCCAAATTGTGCACATAGCATCTTTATGATGTCATGCAGCCAGAGAGAAGAAGAAAAAAAACTTCCATAAACAGTCAAATCAGGGGCTGCCACATTTCTCCAAGTGCATGCATGCATGTAAAAACAAACACTAAATGTGGTACAACAGAATTATTTAACCAAATGTAGCAAAACTGCACTTTCTCTAGGCAATTCTATGCTTTCCACCGGCTCAAAGAAGCTAAATGTGTATTAAGCTAATGCTAAATGTGTATAAAAGTTGTCAAGCACATTGTAAAAGACATTCAATATGTTCTGTTATGATGCAAACATTATTTTCATTATTACATAGCAAAAGAACATTAGGGGGAAAAAAAGTTGTTCACATTAACATGCAAAAACAGACTGAACTAATACTGGAGGTGTTTTACTGCTATGCTTCCATGAGGAAACCATGAATTTATAGTAGAGACAGAAATTTGTCCCTTAAAAATAGGAATGTCAAACATCAAAAAAATGTGCATTAAAGCATTCTGTACCACTACTATCACCAACTGGTATTTCAAAAGCAATATGTACTATATAGACTAAAACTGGTTTTATAAACCCTCCCACCAGTCTCAAATAAAGTACACTGTGTGCAGAATTATTAGGCCAGGGAGTATTTGGACCATATCATCATTTTTATGCAACTCCAAGCTGTATAAACTTTAATGCGTATTGGATTTAAGCATTTCAGATGATGTGTTTTTGTGTAATGAGGGAGGAGAAAAAACACCCTATATCAAGGTGTGCATTATTATTAGGCAGCTTCATTTCCTCAGGCAAAATGAGCCAAAAAAAAAAAAAAAAAGATTTAACTGACTCAGAAAAGTCAAACATTTTAAAAAAGTCTTTCAGAGGGATGTGCACTCTTGAAACTGCTAAGATATTGGGGCATGATCACAGAACCGTCAAACATTTTGTAGCAAATACTCAGAGTCGCAAGAAACATGTTGAGAAAAAAAAAGTTCACTTCTTAAAAAACTTTTGCTGATAATTTACTCACCCCCGTCATCCAAGATGTCCATGTCTTTCTTTCTTCAGATGAAAAGAAATTAGGTTTTTGATGAAAACATTCCACCATTTTTCTCCATATAATGGACTTCAATGGGAACCAAACGGTTCAAGGTCCAAAAGACACTTTCAGTACAAATTTTTTACATTTTTTGGTTAAACCGTTTTTGTCTGTCAGTCATATAATGCAGGTATGGGGGTCCGCCTCAAAGAGTCCAAATTAAACATGATTTAATGACTCGTGAATGTAAGTACACATTGATGGCCTAAGACACGAAACAAGCGGTTTGTGTGAGAAAACGAACAGTATTTATATCGTTTTTACCTCTTGTTAACAGCTGAATCAGATGTCCAACTGAACCGAACTGAACCGACCAACGTTAACTTACACCGGAAGTGATCTCTTGCGCATTGTTTACACAGAGATTTCGGAAGCTTTACCTTTCACTAAACATATTTAGATATATCGAAATAGTCTTCCATTGCGATTTCCCGTATATCTAAATATGTTTAGTGAAAGGTAAAACTTCCGAAATCCCCGTGTAAACAATGCATGACGTAGACACGCGAGAGATCACTTCCGGCGGTTCACTTGGAGACGGTTCAGTTGGACATCTGATTCAGATCAGTTTGACGGCTGTTAACAAGAGGTAAAAACTATATAAATACTGTTCGTTTTCTTTTCTCACACAAACCGCTCGTTTTGTGTCTTAGCCCATCAGTGTGTACTTACATTCACTCAAGTCAATAAATTATGTTTAATTTTGACTTCTCTGTGCATGCTCTTTGAGGTGGACCCCCTAAACTTGCATTATATGAATGACAGACAACACCGGTTTGACCGAAAAATGTCAAAATTGAAAATACTGTGGAAACAAAGACACCTACATCTTGGATGCCCTTGAGGTAAGCTAAAACATATCAAAAATTAATTTCAAAGTGAACTATCCCTTTAACTGCTAAAGATTTAATAATAATAATAATAATTTGTTACATTTATATAGCGCTTTTCTGGATACTCAAAGCGCTTTACAAGGAAGGGCGAATCTCCTCAACCACCAACAATGTGCAGCATCCACCTGGATGATGCGACGGCAGCCATATTGCGCCAGAACGCCCACCACACACCAGCTTATTGGTGGAGAGGAAACTGAGAAGAATCAAACGTGAAGCTATCAGGAACCCATACGCCTTATTCACGGCAGCGCCATCTTTGATTTTTAATGGGAATGAAAGCGAGGCTGTGAGGGATAGACTTGCATCTCAATGGGCTGTATTGTTATTTAATGTGTTTTCGGATTGTTCTGCTCATGAAACACTGGAAAAATATCTTTCTAAGAAATTTCAATTGACAAAAAACTCCTGACAATGTAAGTTGTGGAAAATTGTAAGTAATCTAGGAGCTTTATTCAGCTTTTTACAGCGGATGCCATTGGAAACACGGTAAGTCTATCCCTCACAGCCTCACTTTCATACTTGTCATGGCGCTGCTCTGAATAAGGTCTATTATCCTCCAGTGCTGTCATATTCCAGAACTGCAACCTTCCTGTAGTGCTCAGAAGTACAAGCTGTTCAGTGCTCAGAGACATGACCAAGGTAAGGAAGGCTGAAATTCGACCACCACTGAACAAGAAACAGAAGTTGAAACGTCAAGACTCAGCCAGGAAATGTCTGAAGACAGATTTATGGACTGATGAGATGAGACCGAGTCTGACGGACCAGATGGATGGGCCTGTGGCTGGATCAGTAAAGGGCACAGAGCTCCACTTCGACTCAGACGACAGCAAGGTGGAGGTGGGGTAATGGTATGGGCTGGTATTATTAAAGAGGAGCTTGTTGGACCTTTTCGGTCCAAAATGAACTCCCAAACCTACTGCCAGTTTTTAGAAGATACTTTCTTCAAGCAATGGTACAGGAAAAAGTCTGCATCTTTCAAGATGTCCATGATTTTTATCCAGGACAAAGCTCCATCGCATGCATCTAAGTAATCCACTGCGTGGCTAGCCAGTAAAGGCTTAAAGATGAAAGAATTATGACGTGGCCCCCTTCGTCACCTGATTTAAACTCTATTGAGAACTTGTGGGCCCTTCTTAAACGGGAGATTTACGGTGAAGGAAAACAGTACACCTCTCTGAACAGTGTATGGGAGGATGTGGTGGCTGCTGCACAAAAAGTTGATCAAGAAACTGACAGACTCCATGAACTGTTATTGAAAAGAAGGGTGGCTATATTGGTCACTGATTTTTTTTATGAAATGTTTATTTGTAAACCGAGTTGTTTGTTTCTGTCATTCTCACTTTAACAGATTAAAATAAACAAGTGAAATGGGAAAATTTTCATTTTGCTGCATAATAATTCTGCACACCAAGAGTTGCCCAATAATTCACTTTTGCCCAAAATCTCACTTTTGCTTCCTTAAATATTCAGTTTTGGGGTTTATTAACATTTTGTATTGACTGAGAGCACTGTAGTTGTTCAATAAAATTAATCATAAAAAAAATACAACTTGCCTAATAATTTGGCACACAGTGTATATCGGGACCTATAGCGTCACAGAGCCACAGTGTTTACACTTTAGAAAAATCAACTTCCTAAAAGGCTTACTTACAGCTGTCATATTAAAATAACAGATCACTCAAAAATGGAAATTCTGTCATCATTTCCTCACCCTCATATTGTTCAAAATCTGTATATCTTTTTTCTGCAGAGCATACATTTTGAACAATCTTTTAAGGGTTTTTGCCCCATATAAAGGTCACTGACTATCATTGTATAGACATTGAAACATTTCAAAAAATTTTTTTAAATGTCTATCTATAACATTGAGTCAAGAGTATCACATAGCCATGATATGATTAGTTGAGCTGCCAACAACATATAGTTTCACACCCACTGCCAGATATAAACTGAGGAAAAAAGAGGGCTCAACAAATCGGCTTACCTTGAATGAACTGTGGACTAGTGTTTCATCCAGATCAATGACTACACAGATCTTCCCTACATCTTTAGACTTTATCTGTGGAAGAAGTGGCTTGGCCGGGACCTGTAATTGACATTTCAAGGACACTTGTAAATAAGTAGCCAAGCTGGAATTTACAACAAGGAGCTATTTTGCAGTAAAAATGTAGTATAGGTCAGTGTTTCTGTACCAGTGGCTCCCCTCTCGGTATGTACTGAATTTGTATGCTGGACAGTACAGAGAGTCAACTGGTAGATTTTATTTGATATTTCTATATGTTTATATGGGAAGCTATATGTAGACAGTCACATGGAAAAATGTAAGACACTGAGTGTGACGTGTCCAGAATCTAACGACGGAATTACCTGTTTTATAACACTAGTTTAGCCGTTTGAATCTTTAATTTTAATTTTAAGGTATTTACTTATCTTTCATTTGTTGTTAAAATAAGGAATAATAATTTGTAGAATAAATATTTAATTCACTGGACTGTAAATAAAAAAATAACTATTATATTATATATATACAGTATATATATATATATATATATAAACAATTATTTTCGTTATTGTATTTATTGGGGGGTGTCTATAATATATACAGTACTGTTCAAATGAATGGGGTAAAGTTTTAAATGAAGTATCTTATGATTTTTCTAATTTGATTGAAAATACAGTAATACTGTTAAATATTATTACATTTTAAAATAACTTTCTATTTTAATATTTTTTAAAATGTAATTTAATCCTATGTCAGCAAAGCCGAATTTTTAGTCTTCAGTGTCACACGAACCTTCAGAAATTATTCTTCTGTTTAATTATTTTGTCCTTGCTGAAATCAAATTCAAATTGATCCAAAACATCTGAATGGTACAATTAACAAAATGCAAATACACCATGATAAGATTTGTCATAAAGCCCATCCCAAACTGGGTGTATTAGTTATAGACATGAGTATCCAAAAGGGGGCATAAGGTAGCTCTTTTAGCAGTAGCATTCCATAAGCAGAGGAAGATCAAGTGACTGACTGCAGCTGGGGTGGAATTGCAAAGCTGCTCGCAGTCCACACACAGTCTGAAACCATCTCTCTGGCCTATGCTTTCAGAATGAGTATCTCAAGACCTGTGTGGCCTTCCGGATTCATTACAATTGGGAGAGTGTACAGATGACTCTGATTTAAATAACATAACATATGACATAGAATAAGAACCCAGCACGGGGTCTTGTTTTAGTTCTGTTGCTACTGACTTCATACTAATTAAAATTCAAACACATTCCTTCACAAGCAAAATCCTTATAAGATATTGATGCTTTTTAAAACATGCTTTCAACTCCTAAAATCAATCAACAAGAACCTCTTCTAAGAAAAGGGTACCTGATCTATGGGCGGAACACAGATTTCACAATCACAGTCCTCTGGGTACTCTTCATCTTCAGATGCATCACTGTCGTCATAAGAATCACTCTGTTCACTTGACCTTTTTTGGTCAGACTTAAAAAATGTGTCTTGTTCAGGTGCCTCACTTCTAGCAACTTGATGTATAAGTTCCTCTAATTTTTCATTTTGCTTGTTCTCCTCAGGCAGATCATCTGTTCCAGGAGAATGAAGGAGCCCAGAGGTGTCTTTTGTCTTGGTATGGGCCTCTTGCTGACCATCTGATAACCAAACGGAGTTTGTCTCCGTGTTTGACTCTTCCTCAAAGGCACAAGAGAGCAGTTGATCCACAACTGGTGCTTCTTTACCTTTGTCACTTTCCTCAGAACATCTCACAAGATCTTCGAAATTAAACAGGGCTGTTTCTTCATCTTCTGTTGTTTCAATCTCTCCACAACAAGGTCCATGATCCGCCTCATTTTCAAAGTCAGTGTGTGTCTCTTCATTTTCATCTGTTTCAACCACAAAACTGAGATCCTGTGCGGGTTCCTTGTTCTCATTTTCCAACAATTCGTCTTCGGGTGATTCTGAAGGATCAAATTCTTGAAATGTGTTCTTTACAGCACAGGACCCCGTGACATCTCCAGATATATTGTTGAAAGCATTTTCAACCACTTCTTCCAGTTCATTACCTTCAACGGCTGCAACACAGGCCACTTGTACATGCACATCAACATGGGGTTCAGCGACCTCTCCATTTATGTCGCAAAGATCATTGCCCTTGCCCTCAGAATCCAATGCGGGACTCTCGTCAATAAAATCAGGCCCATAAGCATCAGTTCCACAGACCTCGTCTGGTTTGGCACATTCATGGATTTGAACTGGATCAATAGGGAGTCCAACAGCTAATGCTTCAGCATATGTTTTACCGCTTTCCTTTCCAGTCACTTGTCGCACAGAATCAATCTCACATGCTTCTTCACAAGCATCTAAATTTTCCTGTGTATACATGTTAAAGTTCTGATTACCTTCTTCATGGTACTCATCTGGCCGTGGTATATGAATTGAGGACTCGTCATCCTCTGCAAGAAGGTTTTCCTTATCACATGGTTGATCTGAGAAGATTTCAAATGATTCAGACTCATCAACAAAACTTTTGAATGATTCGTCGGTTTCAGAGCTACTTTGACTTTTAGCGTCCATGCAGTCGCAGTACTCCTCTTCGCTTGATTCATCTGAAGAACCTGATCTTGTGGTCACTGCATCGAGGGAGATGTCCACATTTGATTGGAGTTCAAAAGTTGTTTCCACATCATCACCAAGTTGAAAAGGTTGAAGAGTTTCATCATTACAACATTTCCCTTTCTCCAGCTCTTCACACTTTCTACAGAGCTTCCTACAGTTATCTAAAGCTTGAACTTCAGGTTTGGGATCTACAACTTCAGGTTTTTCTACCTCTCCATTTGACTCACTGATTTCAGGAGCAATACTTGAAGTCTCCTTATTATGCCTCAAAAGATCAGTGAGAAATTGAGAAAGCCAGCGAGCCTCAAAAGTTTCCATTGATCCAGAAAACATGGCATCGCACTCAGATGGTTTCCTACCCTCAGTTCTGCTGCTATGATTAGGCAAATTCTCTTTGGTTTTTGCTTCAGGGTTGTGAAAGATAGAGTCCTGTGTTCCTGACAACTTTGGGCAATTTTCTGCAAGTCTGCTTTGACCTGGGCCCTCAGAATGGTCAGTGGGCACAGAGGGACTGCATTGTTCAAGGATGTCACATTTTTCAAAGTGCATTCCACAGCTTGTGCATTGTTCGAAAGCCTTAAAAGATACAGAGGATTCGCTGTGCTCAAAGAGTTGGTTACAGTCTTGATATCCTTCAGTCGACGAGGTCCGGCTGCAATTAAAAGTCTCCGACAAACAAGTGCAATCATCTAGACCGTTTAGACGAAAGCTGTCATCAGAGGTGTCCATTTGCCCAGTAAGCTGTGTGTGCTCCTGGGACAAACAGTGGTCGGATGGCTTACTTTCTTTAGAGTCTTGACACAGTTCAGTGGATTTAAAATGTGTGGCATGGTATTCATCAAGCTTGTTTTGATTGTTAGGCTCGGACTGTTTAGATGTCTCGCAGTCTTCAGAATCTAGTTCAACTACATCATTTTGATTAGATAAATTATCTTCAGAGCTGCTGTCTTCACACTTGCTGTACTGTTCCTGATATTCTGCGCCACATTCAGAAAGCATTTCATAATCCAAGAGATCCAGTTGTGAGGATTCAACATCCGCTTGTGTAAAAGAATCACAAAGATCTACCTCAGTTAACTGTTCTGCATCATCTTGCTGAAAAGACTCACAATCATCTAGGCTCATCTCGGGTGAGTTTAACTGTTCTGCCTCATGTTGTTCAAAAGACTCATTATCATCTTGTTGAGAAGACTCACAAAGATCTGGGCTCATCTCGAGTGAAATTATATCTTCTGCATCATCTTGTTGAAAAGACTCACAAAGATCTGGGCTCATCTCAAATGAGTTTAACTGTTCGGTCTCATGTTGTTCAAAAGACTCATAATCATCTTTTTGAGAAGACTCACAAAGATCTGGGCTCATCTCAAATGAGTTTAACTGTTCTGCATCATGTTGTTCAAAAGAGTCACAATCATCTAATTTCATCTCAGTTAAAATTATCTGTACGGCATCGTCTTGTTGAAAAGACTCGCAATCTTCTAGGCTCATCTCAGACAAAGTTAACTGTTCTGCATCATGTTCAGAAAACTCGCTTTGATCACTTGGCACAAATGCAATACAAAGTTCATCATTTTGGCATATTTCAACCAAATCAACTGAAGAACTGCTTGTTTCAAAACACTCACTGTGCTCAGAGCAGCTATCCAACAAAGAGCTATATCCAGAAGAAGAACCAGACTGATCTGAAAATTCACCATCGATTTGACTATTTTCAATGCAAAGTCCATTTGCTTCGTTCAGTTCGATGGCGTTTTGGCCAATAGATGTTTCTCGTTCTGAGCACAACTGTGCAGAGTGCTCCTTTTTAGGATCTCCTTGTCCAGAGACCTCCGAATGGCCAAAGCACAGTTCAGCGGGCATGTTTACTTCTGTGTGCTCGCTTTTAAAAAAAGAAGATGATTCCAAGTATTTGGTAATGTTGCTTTCGACAAAAGACATCCGTTCTCCAAAACACTGGCAAAGCTCAGAAGAAGGGAAACACTTCAGACATTCTCCCATATGTTTGCTTTCTCCAGAAAGCCTGCAAGAACAGTCAGAGATCTTCGTTTGCAAAGGGGGCTTACTTGGCTGAAGGGATTCGTTGAGCCCACAGCCTGACTGAGACACGAGCAGCAATGTGCACGTTGACATGACAGAGGGGTTGAGGCTCCACTGAACCCTGCACTCAGCCCGCCTTCAGGACACCTACCGATTTATTTTGGTGCTTCAGAGACGTGACAAATAACCCCTGGTGTATCAAATCACTATAAAAAGCTGAAGTAAGGCATAAATATGAACCTGACACCTACAGCGTCTTGACACCTGATCTGCTCGTAGTTGTTCGCGGCCGTGTTTTTTTTTTCTTCCCTGACTAATTAGTGTAATGAAATCATGAGTGAAAAATGTTTTGACATCTCTTCATATCACCTTTCAATTAGTTGGGAATTTTAAGGACAGATAGCTTTTCTTTTTGCTAAATTAACAGCATTCATTTAGAGTCTCTACATGAATGCAAATTAGATAAATTCTTATTATGGCACATTCAACTATGAGAGCCTCCTCGTAAACAGGAAAAGAATTGCGCAAAAGCGAACATGAGGTTTTGGTTTCCTCACTATCACAGCTGATCATGTGGCTCTCGCCTGTGTTAACCACGGGCTGGCCAGTATTCAGAAAACGCTAGAGAGTACAGGGTGGGGATGCAGAGGGACGTCAAAATAAGACGTTGTAGAAGAAAATAACAAAACTCTTACTTTTGAGATGGTTCCATTCTCTTCCACCAGCAGCGGGGCGTTGTTATTGACGGGCACGTGATCCGTTTCGTCATGACAAAGGCAGCAGAAGAGACTGTGGAAAATGCCACGACTGCGGGGTTTCTTCGTTGAGGATGCAGCATGTGGAGGGGTACCTGGGAAATGAAAGGCACATCATATCATATCAGTTACATATATCTTTGCATACATGATACTATCAAATGCAAATATAAATGACCAGTAATGACTTGTCTTAAATAACATAACCTATCTAAAAAGCTAAGTGCCAGTATCAGAATTTAACAACAAAACAAAAAGGAAACCTTTAAACAAAAACTGTGGGGGCACAGAAACAATGAGTTTTTAACCTTGAAATGAAATTACCAATGACGCATCTTAGTAATTTGACAGAAAATAGACTAAACCCTGCATTAAGGCCATATCCAAAGCATATGTGCACATGTTGAAATACTGATTAAGACAAGCAGGATACTTACAATTGTAGTAAACTGTTTGACTGAAAGCCTTAGCATATTTGGTGTTTTAACTGTATAGAATGAAACAACGTCTATGAATTTCTAAAAGGGTGGAGTGAAGGTTTTATTAATAGGAAACACATGGATGTTCCACCCATGAGTTCCCCAAAACTTACTCCATACCCTGAGCTTCAACATACGACAATGCTTTTTAGTCTAGCATGGTTTGAGGGAAAAACTGGGGGGAAAAGGATGTCAAACTGCTTTTCGCATACTTGTTCAGCACCACTAAAAAAATATTACTAATAAAAAAAAAAGACTCTATAGTTTACTGTAAAGCTGCTCTGGCACAAAATGTTTTGTAAAATGTTTCACTGGCTGCTTTTAAAATACTTTTAAATGATATAAAGGCTATACATACTGTTTGTAAATGCTATGAATAATTAGTTGGATGATTCTTGCTTCTATGTTTATGCTATATGTTCCATGTTTTTTTTTTTTTTTTTTTGTCATGTCTGCAACTTTGTTATTTTTGCTGCTGCCTGTCTTGGCCAGGACACTCTTGGAAAAGAGATTTTTTAATCTCAACGAGTTTTTTTCTGGTTAAATAAAGGTATATAAAAAAAAAAAAAAGGGAAGTACAAAGATTTTTGGAATAGAAAAAAAATTCCTGCAAGGGGATCATGATATTCAGGGTCCTCTGGCATCAAATAATTTAAAATTCAGACTTAAGACTGCTAAAAAACAAAATTATTCTAAATCCCCATGTCCACTGTTTGCTAATAAGCAAGATATTTGTCACCAAATACAGCAGACAGAGACACATGAACCATGAATAGTGACACATTACAGGGAATCCACGTGATTATGGATCTATGTTGGGCTCGGGGCAAGAGCACAGCCCTGGGCAAATCACAAGAGAGAACAACAGCGACGAAAGCTGGACTTTGCAAGACAAAATCTTTGACAAATTAGGCTGTGGCCAAGACGGCAGAGGCAGCTGTCAACAGGGAGGATAAGCATGTCGTTCAAAATTCGAACTTAAAGCTCATGTATCAAACGAAGCCATAATAAACAAGGTAGTTAGAACATATTGTACTTTCATTTAGAAAGCATTGAAAGCATTATTGTCATGGTAAAGGAAAGTAATCAGAAACTGAAGGTTGTGTTTTAAATTTAGATTAGCCAATTAGATTTATCTCCATTCTGATGTGTCCTTCAACATAAAAGTTAGCCTTCAAACCAAACTTAACCCAAAGAATATATACATCTAAATATATATGCCATGAGCTGCCGACCCATCGTCAGGACATAAAATACGTCTCTTGACCTTCAAACATAAAATGTAATTTGACTTGTCAATTGTAGCTCACACGCTAACCGTGCATATGACCCTTTGGAAATATCCAGACAATCTGACAAGTCATAATAGTGAAACATTGCTAAGTGAGCACACCTGCATCCCGGTAGAGGAAATGAGTGTGGCAGGTCTAAATATGTGAGGAAAAGGGCCGGTGAGAGGGACTGTGACGAAAACCGCATTCTTCCCTTCACGTTGACTCCTCTGATATTACATGGGCAGCAGTTGACAGTGGTAGGGATGGCATTCCACATACATAGAAAACTTTGTTGTGTTCCCAGAGCGGGACAGGAGGGAATGGCTCAGCCATATGTTTATCTCATGCCGTACATATGATACCTTGATTGACACCATGATGAAAGGCAGAAAAGCTGTAACGTATTAGCTTGGAGCAACAAACTTGAACTTGTAAACAGAAAAAGATCAAACAGAGACTATAGCTAGCAGAAACAATTCTAAGGAAAACTTGACTCCTTGGCATTCTGTAATGAGTCAGAGGGCTGAATACATTTGAAATCTCGAGAGCTGATAATAGGGCTCCAGCTTTTTCACTCTACCCCTATCAGTTGTTATCCACATACTTAAGGGTGGATTATCTAGGTCTCTTTTAAAGAGGGTCTATGTGTTATTCCAATCCCGGCGGACAGAGGCCACTCAGCGATTGACTTTAGGACCGTGACTTATGATCCTACGTTACAATCTCCCAACTTATTACACACCACCCCTTGGAGGAGAAAGACAGTGGATTTGGGTGACATTGCACATGTTTTACACAAGTATAATGAAGAGCTCTAGAATAACTTATGCAAGTGTAATATTGGTGCCAGCAATTTCTGCAAATTGTACAGGGAGGTAGAAGTAGGGCTGCATGATTTCTCCTTCGAGTAATTAAAATGAAATCAGAATATTTTCTCTGCTGATTATTTGTCTTGAAAACACTTTTATCTTGCATTGGTAAGAACAAAGTCAATTGTTTTAGCCCTTTTTTGCTTATAATGTACAGCATAACTAACATATATACATGCACTATATTTTTTTTCATAGGTTTTATATTACACATTTTTTGGAGGACAGCTATATATTATATCATATTATGATAATCGTTAGTTTCAGCCCTAATTTATATTCTACTGAGAATAATCAAGATTATATTTTTTTAGCAAAATAATCATGCAGCCCTAGGTGTCAGGTACTTTAAAATGTAAAATTAAAATGACAAAATTAAATTGAAACCAACTTTTCTCATTAGTATTATCATCGTAACCAGCAATAATTATAATTTACAATATAATGCATTTTTTTGTTCAACAAACCATATTTCACACTAAAAGTTGATTTATTTTGAGTTGGGAAGCAGACATAAAATTATAATAAACCACATTCTGAGGAGGAAATACATTCAAAATGTTTAATAAAAAAATAAAAAAACATATGAAGATCACCAAAATCACACACAACGAAAAAACATTTCTTATCAATGTTGAAAAGTGTATTTATTTCATTATTCTTTGATGAATATTTGAAATGTCTTTTGTAACAAATAATCACTTTTGATTTATTTAATGCTTTCTTACTGATTATATATATATATATATATAAATTAAACTTGGATATATTTTAGAGTAGTAAATGCTTTTATAGCAGTATATATATTTACTGTCCTCTGACAAGAACTCAAAATAGAGCCATTATTGTCAAAATAGCTGGCAACAAAAAGTGAGTACACCCTAAGTGATAATAGCTGTTCGTGGTTCAACCATGCAAAGTCACATGTCCTATTCATAATTTTCATGTTTTTGTCTGCTTGACAGGACCATACAAATTTGTATATCTTAAATTAGAGCAGTTACAATGTGTGGTTTGAATACAATTCTCTCATACTGACCACTGGATGTTGAACATGGCACCTCATGGCAAAGGATTTGAGAATTAGGATTGTTGATCTCCACAAAACACCCTGAAACTGAGTTACAGTACAGGCCAGGGTCATACATAGGGATGGGTATCGTTAAGGTTTTATCGGTATTACTACTCTTACCGATACTGCTTATCGATCCGGTACTTTAACGGTATTCTTATCGGTTCTTTTTGGTGTTTTTTTTTGTGTGTTTTTTAAGAATTAAGAACATAATTAACTTTATATTTTGTAAAAAAGTAATGCTTTAACAAAACGAAGAAAAAAATCTATTTGTAATGCAGCAATGTGCAGGCTTTTATTGTTTTATATACAACAGATAGGACACAAGTACTAACACAAAAATACAATTAATTAAAGATACAAATTATATACACAGTACTTTAATTTCAGGAAGGTCTACTAACATTAGCTACTTTTTAGGTAATATTTTCTGTCTGAAAATAAATCCAATTTAGTAATCAAATGTAAAATAGCACTGTATAATTTATCATAGATAGATTAATGCTTATTAAACTAAAGTTACTCATTCAAGAGCTGTGAATGATTTTCTCTGCCTTTTGTTGTTTGATATGCATTAATGGCTGAATCGTCAGCAGGTTTATTAGACTGCTGCCCCTTTAAGACCGAGAGCAAATCTAATCGGTATCTGAAGCACCA